AAAATATATCCAAAAATTTTAATTTCAGAATAGAACAGATAACTTTTCTAATTTAATAATTTACATTTTAAAATGGCAGATAATACGGCAAGTGTAAAAAAAAAAAGCTTAGCTTATAAATAGAATTATCTAAAAACAAGAGGTTCTAGTCGGGAGCTTCTGACTAGGAGATACCCTGAATACGCTTATTCCAACTCCAAATTCAGCTCGTGCTCTTTTGCTTTAGAAGTAACAAAGATAAATTAAAAAAATAAAAAAAGATCCATTGGCAGAGTTCAATCTTGCAACTACGACTAATACTACCTAACTCTACTCAACAGCCACACCAGCCGCAAAAAAAACAAGTAAGAGGTTCAAGTCGGGAGCTCCCGACTAGGGGATACCCTGAACCCACTTCTTCCAACATCAAATGCATATATATATTCTATTTTGGAAGCTATATGTCAAGCTTATTTACCCAATTTGCTCAAAAAGCAGTATTTCGATATAGATTATTATCGATTGCTTGGAAACGGAGTAAGTTATCGATTATCGGAAGCAAACTCGATCTTCGCATGGACTAGGAGGACCTACAGCTAAAATTTCAATTTCTCTAGCTTTTATAGTTTCTAAGATCCTTGCGTTCATACATACGGAAGAACGGACGGTCGGACAGGCGGACATGGCTAGATCGACTCTACTGTTGATGCTGATCAAGAATACATATAAGTACTTTATTGGGTCGGAGATGCTTCCTTCTGCCTGTTACATACATTTGCACGAATACATTATACCCTTTTTACCCATTTTGAGTGGGTTCAGGGTATAATAAATATGACTAGTATGTTTACGACTCTGTACCGTGCTTTAGTTTTTTGCTTAAGTCGTTTGCTTTCACTTCACCCATTACAAACACACATACAAATGTTCATAATGGCGCACACATATATATTGTCGTTTATCTATATCGTTTATCTATTCTTTCCTTATTTTTTAAGCGTTCGCATTGCACTCTCGCAACTTGGTTGTGTTTAGTTTGACCCCAGAAGTCAATAGTCAAAATAATCAAGGGTAAGCCATTTGAATCGGACCGTATTTACTGGTGGTATTTGATAAGTAATATTTTCAAAGGGCTTAAAATGAGGCTGCTCTATACTGATTTAATAACCTGTTGAATGTACTTTTGTACTTTATTTAACAACTTATCATTGATACGCCCAGTAAGCCCTGCTTATCAAATAAGCAGCGCTTACTTTCGACTACCCCGAATGTGCAAGATTTTTGCAACATATCAAATTGACTACTGGGGTTAAGCATATATAGAGTTGAATTGCAAGATTCCAAGATGAGCGTAAAATAAGAGGCGCACAGAGAATAGACAAGCAGCTGCTCACAAGACGAATTCGTACAAAGCAATTGCTTGGATCGGAAAGCGATATTCAATTGCGCTTTCCTCAGCAAACATTTGTGCACATAAATGTGTGTTTGCTTGTTGTTGTGATCGAGATCGAGAATTTATTTGTCGATTTTTTTCTTTTTTTTTTTTGTTTATTATTATTAATATATAATACCTTAACAACACATGGAAGGGAAATTTTATTTAGAGCCAAGCCCCATAACGCACATTTGTGGAAATCAGGTTTGATTTTAGGCAGATTTGCCTTTTTGAAATAATTGTGGACTATGGAATTTATTGGAATTTTATTTTTTATTTTAGAACCGATCTAATTGAATATGATGTTCGTAAACATGCTGGACTCAGCCTTATCATACTAGCTGTGCTACGAAATTCTTGCTGTATCTGATAAAGAAAATTTTAGTAACCCGGCCTAAAAGTATGCAACACAATTGCTGCGAATGCATACACATTCCTTGGCATGCCTCCGGATATCCTCTGTGACTATTAATCCTGTGGACCAGGCTTGGCGAAACAACACCTGGGACATCTATACTGTTATACAAATGTGTGTATTTTTGATACAATATAAACAAATTAGCTAAAAAAGAAAAATTGTTAGAGCTGGCTTGTGAAACTATATAAAATTATTTATGATGTCGATGAGAAGTTTAAAGACAATAAGTACAAACGCTTAAGTAAATAATTAATAAATTAATAAAGAAAAACCTAAATAAATAAATTTAGCACAGTTTCTTAAATATTTTCGTCGCAAATCATTTAATTCGTTTGTGTAAAGAAATATCCTTTGAAGTGGATTTCGGGTTTGTAGCTAGAACCTGGCTTGAGCTTGAGATATTTTGAAGGGAATTACAGAACCTTGCAGAATTTTTTCTCAAAATGTCTAGCATTTTAAATCTCAAAAATATATATTATGCATTTTATAAAGACATCTCGCAGCAGCAGATCGATCGGGTATATATTCAATGCTGCAGTAAGCGCTTGGCATGAATATGACAAATAAATTGAAAGAGCAAGTTATAGCCGAAATGTATTTTTAAAATGTAATAAAAAATTATTTCTGCGATAAAATGTTTTCACCTTCTTCTTTACTCGCTGTGGGATCATACGATTTGGGAGATGAAATGGATTTTATATAAAGTTTATTGAATTACTTGTGAGCACCTTGAAAATGATTTAGCATCAAAATTTCTTTCTATTCAAATGTTCGCTGCACACGTGACACATATGTGAAATATTTTTTTTATATTTTGTTTGTTTGTTTCTTTTTTTTAAACAATTTAATTAACACGCAGTGTTGTTTGCTAAATGACCAAACAACAGAAAGAAGCGAGCAAAGGAAAGTTTTGGAGGGGGAGGGGAAAGGTGGATACCAATATTTTGTGTGAGCTACAAATTCTGAGCGATATGCTAATAAATCTTGTTTATAAGTCAATTTCAATGGAAACTTAATCAGGCTCTCACACGATGACGCCCCTGACGAATTTGCATCTATTGAAATTATCAGATTTCGATATGTGCTAATTGTTAACGAACGCTTATTTTATTAAACACTTAATTAAATAATCAAATGTGTATCAATCGAAAAAATGGAGAGCATTAGAGAAACATTGAGTTGAAGAGATGTAAGAAATTATGTGTAAATAAAACAAGTTTCTATCCTGTGCAAATGGCCTTAAATATGGGAAGAAACCAGGTACAATTTTTATTTTATTTTTTGGGTGGAAATAAAAGGAAAAATGTATTTTAGGATTTTGTTGATAGTGTAACGATCCCGATCTAAGCACTATTATCTAGTTTCTAGCCAGTTTCTATTTGATAGTATTTTTCTCCAGCGGTCTAGTAGGGCAACTGGTAGATGTATGCTGTGACCACGTTATATATTCGCTTTATGACAGCTGCTAGATAAAAGATATAAAAGATTATAATATCGTAACACAATAATAATGCCAAAATGTAGCCTCTTAAACCGAAAAACAAGACCCGGGCACGCGTGTTTATCTAAAACTCAAACAGAGAAAAATAAATAAATAAACACAGTAGTGCGGGAAATTGGCCAGGCAAATAAAGCAAAGTAGATTTATTTTGTTGTTTTTATCAAGCTACAAGATTAGTTGACAAACAAGAAAGAAATGCGACCATGGGTGAGTTCAAATGTTCTACTATGCCTTGAACTCTTAAGTTCAACTGACTGAGAGTATATCTTAGTGAGTGCGGTTTTTCAGCTTCCATTCTAGCCAAATGCAAAAATTGCACAACACTGTTAAAACAGTTGGAATTGTACAGAGAATCATTAGAGTTCTATTTAATTATCATGCCTGACCTTGAATGGGCGAGGGGCTAGCGCATATAGATAAATCTGGCTTCCACCAGCGAGCACTTTTGTTCCCGCATTTCCCGTTTCCCCCTTTTTTTGTTGCAATATTTGTTGTGCAATAATTGCACAATTACGGAAATGTATTTTAAGTTTGCCGCTTACGCTCACGTGAGCAACGTGCAAATATAGTATGTCTCTGTTCTTAATTGAAAATAAAGCTGCAATAAAAGCTAGAGCCCAGAACCAATATTTGTTTAAATAGCGAACGATTTAGTTAATTGCGCATACGCAGCGTGCAACGAGCAATGAACCAGTTCCATATTACGACAAACATATAGATCAGACGCGAGTTGAAACACATACAAATTTTCTAAATTAGTTGCAAAATTGGTTTAACTCGCTAAACTAGCCCCGTGCAACGTTTGTGGCACTGTTCTAATAAAATAAACGTTGATAAAAATTGAGGCACAGAAATCGCCCCCAACCCCCTAACAACCCTAGCAAAGAACCCTAAGGCAATTGAGAGGCGAGCTGTGGTTCAATTTTTGCCCAAAAAAAGTCTAGATTAAATTGTGGCTGCGCATAAACGGTTAGCCGCACACAGTGTGTGTGTATGTGTGCTGCGTGTGTACCGCTGAGCGTGCGATTGTGATCACGCTTTGCGTTTGTCTGCTAAGAGCTACAAAAAAAAAACAATGCACTAAAGTTCAACAATAAATTAAGGCGACAATTTAGCGTGTGTGTGTGTGCACAGTGGAAACTGAGCTTAAGTTTTCAAGCAAACAGCGCAACTTTACAGCGTGTCATAAACAACACCAGTCCGTTAAACAGTAACAGCAAACTAACAGCTATTAATCGATTGTCGTATCGATCGACAGACAGTTGACATTTAACAGGCGTTAACCAACATTGCGTATACGCAACACAATGCAATTAATGTTGCCGCGCGGGTGAGAGCGGGTGAGCGGTTGCTATTGAACCGTCAACGCTTTTTACAACACTCTCTGCCGCTGCACCTCCGCGCGCGGAGCAGCGTGAGCGGGGCTAGAAACAGTAGTTCAATTACTCAATTGACATGTTCTCTTTGGGCTTTCTCTCATTCACGCGCTCGCTTGCTAGCGTGCGCTCTTTTTCTCCCGCACTCTCTCTTTTACTCTCTCAGTCCGGTTAGGTGCGTGTTTTTTTGTTTTGTTTTTTTTTTTTTTGTTGTTATGTTTTTTTTTCTTCCATTTGGTTGGCGCAACGGCTTCGAAGTCAGCGACGCTGCCGCGAGTCAAACAGTCTACAGCCAGCGGACTAGCTAAGCAGACGCGCTACCCTTAGCAAACCGTAACCCCAGCCCATTATCGGGTCTTTATAAAACGTTCAGTTGCATTCGCGACGAAATTCAAACGCGTGCCAGAAACCGCGAGTGCAAGAACAAAAGTTATTCTTATTTCACCAAATCTCTACTAGAAACCAAAGATCAATTTTAAAATGAGCCATCACTGGGGCTATACGGAAGAGAACGGTAAGCGGCGCTTATAATTTGTAAACACCAGCGAAGGGTATTTTAGTTGATGATTTTGTGATGAAATTTGCATAGCAAAAGATATTGGCGAACCTATGCACAACATATATATATTATACATATATATTATTATATATAGTATGCATATGCATATGTCATCCGAGAATCTTAAAACTTGTCATAGAAACTTTCGGATGAACATATATTGCAAGAAATTTTTGTTGGCCTTTTAACAATATCTTTGATCATAATACACGGGCGAAAACGTATACATACCGTAGAACTATATAATGCAGCTTTAAAAGAAAACTCGTAAAAACAGTGTTGTCAGCAACACTGTAAAGCATATAATATGTCTGCAAGAGTGTTTTGTCGTCGGCAATAAAAAGATCTGAGATCATAATCTACGGGTGAAAACATGCATATCGGACTACTATATAATGCAGCTTTAATAGAAAAATCAAAAAAAAAAAAAATTGTTGTCCGCAACACTGTTAAACATATAATAATCTTCAAGGGTGTTTTGTAGTCGGCAATGTAAAGATTTTCTGCTTGTTTGTTTTGCTACGTTTTTCTCGAATTGTTTATCAACGTGACGCACGCTGCGCATGCGTGCAACGACTTTTTTTGGGAAAGTTTTGGAGCAGCGAAAAAATAAAGATTTCGAGAGACAGGTTGGGCTGTGGGCGCAGTTTGTTGTATAGCTGTTGCTGTTGTGCTTGTCGTTTAATTGAGACAGCACCGTTGATTGAACACGAATGTTATCTAATTGATAACAGGCATTTAAGTTATTTGCCAGAGTTATTGTTTGTTGAAATTTAATTGCATGCTGTTTGCTCCGATGCAGCAGATCCGTCATATAGTTGCGTAAATTTGCGGCCTCAGACAGCTTGGATTCTGGAAAATAATTAACATTAAGATATTATATTTACTATTATTTCTGTGGCTGGGAAATGTTGAATAATACAAGCTAAAAGCAAGTCAGTCGAGTGACTAAAATTAAGTGCTTGCGCTCCGACTATTGATTACTCAGCTGTCAATTTTTTGGGTTCACTCCGGTTAAAAACTCGACAACTTCACTTGTTCCACTCGCTGTTAATTCAATCAAGTCCAGTTTTGCTCGCAAATGACGCTTTGCGCCTCAATTACATGCATCATCGCTTTGCCACTCCATACAACAAACACACACACACACACACATACGCACACACACACACACCCAAAGTTCGAGAGACTTGGGCACGTTCATAGGTTCGTCGGCAGCTCATAAATATGCGACAGCCATAATTAAATCGTATACACAGAGAACTAGCACAAACAAATGAGCAGCAGAGAGACGCAGGTGTCGGGTTGGAGGGGCTACAGAGCGGCCAGACTGACAATCGTTGTTTTGCACGAGCTGCGTCTCGTGATCTCAACTGGACTCCGTTGCGGGTGCTTCCCATTAAACCAGTCACAAAGTCAGTCGCCCCGTCGGACTCTAACAAGTTCCGAGTTCTCATTTGTTGTTTTCGTTTACCATTCTCTATTAAAGAGTTTTACCAAAATTGTGGGTAGATTTGTTACAGCATGCTACATAGATATTCTTAAATTATTTTCCTACACGACCTAAAGAACCCAGCCCTACGAAATTGTATAAGAAAAGTACACTTTTTTGGGACATTACAAGAAAATTTCAACTTTAAAAGCAATTTTTCAAATTTTTAGAAAATCAAATCCAGTAAATTTTCATTTTGTTTATAACTTTCTAAAGGAAATCTGTTAAGATCTAGCTACATAACACAAAAATACGAAATGATGTTCGACTCCCTGCACAATTTTTAAACAGAAGGTGACGAAAACATGTTCATAAGTTAAACATCTCGCATATAAATTAAGTATTTAATATGCTTTAATACTTGCTGTAGCTTTACCTTAAGATTTTGCAAGTAAAAAATGTGCGTCATAAGTTAATTTCTATAGTATAAACTATTTGAAAACTTATCCATTCCAAAAAAAAAAACCCTTTTATGACATAGGATATAGACATAGAATATTTGCAAGATAGGAACAGTTACTTATATAGCTACCCCAATGAAAATGATATTAGGCAATTTTGGAAGCTATCAAAATTAATAATAAATAAATAATTTAAGATATAGACAAAGGATCAAGAACACTTTCTCTCTATATATACACATTTACAAACGAGCAGCAATTGCTTATTTGGAAATATGATATCAGTCAATTTAGTAAATTGCCAAAATAAAATGCCATTTAAATGTTGGGTATTTAACATTCGACACACTCTTTATTTATTTGATTTTGGCAGACTTGTTTTTCGCTCATTGTTGTTATTCATGTTCAGTGTCGCCTTCTCTTTTTGCTGTTTGCTGCCTTTTGAAGGCAGTTCGTTTGCTTTTGCGGCGCTGGTCAAGTGCATGTTCGGTTCTTAAGGACGCATTAAAGACCGGTTCCAAAGTCAGCCGTTTGTCATGGCCCAAGCCTGTCGAGCGTTCTGTCTGGCTAAGCCCTGCCCCTGCAATCGTCGAACATCACATGACAGTCACTTATCGTACAATAAAAATGATATATGCCCTATGTAGAATGTTTGCATCTACCAAATCAAAGTTGAAGAATTTTTATTTTTATTTTATTTATTTTCTTTTCTTTTTTTTTTTTTTTTGGCAATTTGTTTTGATTTGTTTAAATGTCGCTGATTGCGTTGATTGATTCGATTCGTCTGCGCTGGGTAACTTTCCAATAGAATCTATCAGAGAATGCTGCCTTATCGCCGCCAGCCGATCTTTATATATGTTTCCGTTTATGGTCCACTCCAGTCTAGAGTGGTTCTTACATTAAGCATAAGTGCACAGTACTCGAGAATTAATAACATATATTAAACATACTAGTATATGTATGTATGTGTGTGTGTGTGTGTGTGTATGTATGAGCTTCAACTGAGAGATTAGGCGATCTGTTTTAATCATTTTTACCTCTGGCCCTGTCAAACCTGCAGAATGGTTGTCTATATAGCACGATTAGACTTGAGTTTTAGATTAAAACTCGCGTGTTTATATTTTGTAAATCAATCAAATTTCATTTAAGGCGTGATTTGCTTTTTGTTGTTTATAACAACAAATTCTTCAATCATTATTTGTTTAGCAGCTATCAGTTACATATGACGGGTTTCTTTTGTATGTGCTTATCTTTTTGTGAAATGGTGCTAAAAAAAATTGTTTGTCATAAGGTTTTCCACGGTATTTAATCTGCTCTCCATCTATATGGTTTATTTATTGTCATAATGCGTCAATTTTATTGAAGTACTTTAATTGATAATATCCACCGAAATAACACAAAACTATTATCTACGTTTATCGTTTTATCCAATTCTTGGCTTAAAATTGAAATGGTTCTTTTTACTTGTTTAGATAATTCTCCCTTTTTACACTCTTGCTTAATTTTGATTGAGAAATGTGTTAGCATGTAAGCAAGGCTTTTGCTAATGATTCTGCTTTATATAACAAAAAAGTAATTCTGAATATTAATGTAGTAAATAATATTGATTTCATTATTACAAATGTATAAAGTAACCCATTGACGTCCTTAATCCATAAATGGCATGATGCGCTATAATATATTACAAAAAAGTAGACTTCCATATTGCCATACCCCCATTTGGCAATCAGATAGATGAAAACTTCTTGGCACATTCAAAATGCAATATTACAATAACTATTTATGATACCATACGTAGATGTTATGCAAACAAGCAGACAGAGAGAAAGAGAGAGCACTTGAGAGCTGATCAAAGTCTTGAGACTTAATGCTGAAGGTGCGAGAAAATGCTGCTCGGATGATATTACGTATATATTACGTATAGATGATTATTATTTTTGGCTAGGGCAATAAAATTAACGGACGGTGTGATAAAAAAATAGAAAGATATAGAAAGATATATATCTATATGAATGATATGTAAAATGGTTTGTGTATATATCGAAGCGATATTAAAAGAAAAACAGAAACAACAATCAAATTTATGGGTTGGAAAACTTTTGCTCGACAGATTAGCATTCCGAGTGCAAAAAATTCGGACTGTACGTGACAATTCTACGAAATTTCGAAATTTGCATGTTTATTGTTCTATAATATATTATTGTTCAATTCGTTGTTTTCGTTTTAATGGTCATTCAATATATCTATTTCTGCGGCCATTCTCACATGCAAACAATTCATTAGCAATGAAAACTGACCAAAACGCTTTTCTTTAGAGGGTTGTCTCCAATTTGTGCCAGTGGAACACTCTTGGCCAACCACCAGAGCTTAGCGCAGTGCTGGGGCTTCGCCAAAGACTAGACGCGAGACGGGGTTATGTAAGCCATTTGTCGGGTCACTTAGGTGACAGTCCGACATTGTCTGATAAATATGCATATCCATTTATATCCGAGTCGCGCAGGAATAAACCGACTGGAGAAATAGCATTTTTACGAGCTAGTTGTACATCTCGAGGTCCAATTAGCAAACACTTCCTTAGTTCGTAAAAACAAAAAACAAAACACAGAAAAAAAAAACACGCAATAAGCTCATGATGAAATGCCTAAAGGAGAGTGTATCTACAAGTTCTAGGGGCTACTGTGCAAATTATAAGATATGATCATGCAATTTAAGTTTATAGTTACGTCTTTTCTACCCGGTTTTCTGGCACAGAAACAGTTTTGGTTTTTATTCAACTTAAATGGTTAACACATGCACTGCGTAACTTTTTCGTTTTTATACCCTGTAGGCATTTGAAAATAATGGTTTAGACATCTTGAACCACTAAAGATATTTATATATCATCTGCGACCTCATATATACATATTAACCTTTATATATATAGGCATATATTGTGGTCTAGGCTATACATTTATCAGATTCAGCCCAAGTTGATATAGGTTCAATTTTCGATAACGCGCTTTATATCGATAAAAATCAAAAGTCCTTCTATTATTGATGTTAGTTTTCTGAGCAGGACCCACCAGATTTGATATATAGGCTTTCACATAGGAAAGATAGTGCAGTTTATTATCCAACCCGATTGCTGCTATCGATAAATATCGATTATCAGTCTCAACCTTAGAGGCGTTTTCACAGAGTAACTCTTAGTCGGGCACTTATGTAGATTTTGTTTTAACTTGTGTTTGTTTGCTTGGAAATCGAAACGAAAGTAAATAACTGGGAAATGTTGCATAAATTCTAATGAAAATGTGTGACTTTGTTCCTTATTGTCGGGGAAAAATAGCGCAAAACAAGTTTTTTCCGGCTGTTCTACTGCTCGATTTGGACGTAAACATATAAATCACCGATATCGTGCCACATTTGGAATGTTTAGTTTCAATTTAATTCAATTAAATGAGCATTTGGGTTTTATCACAATTATGTCTTAAAGAGATATGTAAACTGTAACAATTGTATATATAAATATAAATATATTGTATATATATTATAAATATATATGTATTGCATATATTATCAATGTTGGATTTGTTAATTAGTTAGAGCTTGCGCAGTCTCTGAGACGGCGCTACAGATACGTATTTATTCATTATTGTAAATTACGGGCACGTGCATTTCCTTAACGGTTTTTTGCACAAGTGCCCAACTTGACATTTCGTTGCGTTAATTTATTTAATTTTATTAGGGATTTCGTGAGAAAAAAAGAGTAATGCAAGCTATACTGCAATTTACATAGCTGCTAGCATATGTTCAATTCTGTATCGGCTGTTTGGGAGAACCATATAGATATAGAAAATATGAAATAAATAAAATATTCAGGGTTTTTTGTTTTTTGCCAAGTTATAGGCCGATCAACTGTATTCGTTTTTCCTTTTAATTTATAAATAATTGAAATTTGTACTCTCTGATATATGTATAAAATCCAACCAAGATAATATTTTGCATAATTCAATTTAATAATACCCTCAAAATCAGCTAACTATATCACTGTAATACAAGGCGTTTGCAGAGTAATTAAACTTCGGCCAACCAAGCCATACCCTCAGCTTTCTGTTTGTTTTTACTTAACCATTGTTCAACTGGAATAGCGTGTTGATCTTTAGAATTTACAGCCGCAAAGTGGGCATATTATTGGCTAGTAGCAGCAGCTGCTGCACTCTGAAATGGCGGAAAGGTGCAATAAATGAAATTTGTTTAATAAATATGAGTATAAATGAAAAACTGCCAACAAAACGAAGCTGAGCAGCTGACTAAATGACAGCTTTAAAGTCGGACAAAATATTTGGTTAATTTATCATTAAGCGGATATTTTTGCACAATTTAAATGTAAAAGGATTGCATCGGTTGTACAGGAACAGCTGCCACATACGATGTGTAATACGTGACTCAAGTGCATTTCAGGTGTGTGTTTCCACTTTAAAGATACTCCTACAATTCGACAAGTGTGGAAAGAGCACACTCCCAAGTAACTCAACTCGTAAGAAAGCTGCATGTCAGGTGTGTAGCTCTTATATTTATTTTATATATACACAATATACCTGCTTGTCATGTGTGGAGATGATAAACACTCAAATGGCAAGGCTTTCAATAAAACAAAGGATCATTCGGCACTAGCTTTACATTTAGCCATACATGGCGTATACGTGATATAAATATTCAAGACAGCTACGTACAGGTGTGAGGTTCCACTATTTCAATACACTTTATACTCGTTTGTCATGAGTGGAGATGACAAACAATCAAGTGGCTCAATTAAGGCTTTCCATTTCACAAAGGATCACTAGGCCTTAGCTTTAGATTTTGCTGAGCATGGCGTATACGTGACATGCATGAGTTATTTGTATATTGACCAATGGTAATTTTATATGCTCTATGCATGCGCCTATCACATGAGCCAGGGACAAAATCTGAAATGGCTTAAAATGATCATTTTCAGCTTTACAAAGGACAACAGAGTTCCAGCTCTCCGCCACACATGGCGTATACGTGATGCAGAATTGTATAACTGATTAATTTGCCCCAGCAATATATTTTGTCACATGTGCAAATGGCAAACTTCAAAATGGCTTTAGATTGTAAGCTCTAGTTGCATAAAGCAGCATAGGCTTGTCCGGGCGTATACGTGACATATGTACCTGTATAATATTTATATACCCTATCAATTTGCCTGTCACATGTGCAAATTGCGTATCACTTGCACAGTTGAATGTTACTTAGGTTTTTTTTTCCTAATTACATAATGAACGCTGCCCAATGATAAGGAAAATGCATTGCAACACAATATATGATTTATCAGTTTGGTCTGGGGCTTTAAAATCGAAACGAAATTAATGCCCTAAGACCGCAGCTCAAGTCTTTGATTTATCGTGTGTCATAGACAAACTAAAAGACCTGTTTAGATAAGGTGAATGCATGATTAAGTGCACCCTAACACATTTGTAAGATATTTTCACTGGCACGCCCTGCCGCCCATTGTCTGCGATTTATCTTTTGCCGTGCGTCAGTGCGAACGATCCTATCACATGACTCCGCCTCAGAGCCGCAACTCTCAAGTGAGTCTCTGTCACAGCACGTGACCTGTCTTCAAGTAAATATTTGTTGTTGTTGCAGCACACGACGAAATTAAAAAAAAAAAAAAACGCAAGCAGCAAACAATGGCAAAAAAAAAGGAATAAAAATTTTAAATTATTAATTTATTTTGTTGTCACAGATGTTTCTTGACTAGATAAAGCGCCTACAGACAACAAATTCTGTTGCCGCAAAATAGAAGTAAAAGTTTCATTTATTCTCAAACAATATTTATCTTGGCATTTCGCAGACATAAAAGTACTTGTTTCTATTTAACATTTTTATGATCTCAAAATGCACATCTGTTCACATTTTAGCAACAAAAAAAGTTAGGTAAACGAAGACAGTTTTGTTGCTATTTCCTATTATTTAACATTTGCCCAAAATTCTATAGTATATTTTAATTATACTTGAAAGCTTTACTTCGCTCATTTAATTGATTTTTATTTCCAAATGGTCTTATAATATTTTATTTAATGATATTTTTCCCTTGGGTTTTCCATTACACCTAATTTGACATATCTTAGTACTTATTTAATTGGGCCTTTACCCAGTTAACTAAATGAATTCTTGAACGTCATTTAATATTACGCTATTAACCAGATTAGACCCTGATTTTTAGTTAGCTTGGATATATCCAACACCTTCATCAAGCTGTAAACACTTAGACACGCAGGCTACGTAATTATATCAGGACGGAAATTGAATTTGGTAGGGTATTTAACTAACTTGCTTAAGACTAAGTCAAGAGCTTTCTTACCCATTTTTGCCATCGTAGCACAAATATTTGCCTAGACAAAAAACCTGAGTCGACTGTCGAAGCACACACTAAGCTATGCCAGCTTTTGCTTAAGCCTTCCAAACACAAGTCAGATATTAATAAAAAAAACAGTCTTTTAAAATGCTTAAGCCTTCTACAAATATACAGGTACATATTCATTTATATTTGTACACGCATTTATCTGATATGGTTATCATTAAAGCCACATACAAATTTCCGGTACAAAGAGCATCAGAGCAGTTCTTACTTCTAATGTCTCAGGAATTTATGCAAGATAAAAAGAAAGATATAAATGATCTTAACAAATCGTAGGAAGAATTGGTATTCAAACCAGGAATTCCAAATGTTGTTTCTCGATGTGAATAGAGCCATCTTTAATAAAGGTGTTTTCCATGATTAAGTATCTTTGGTAAATACCTCCTCGCCCCCACATACTTGGCTAGAGCCTAAATGTTGATTTAAGTCTATTTGCTTTGGCTTAATGACATCATTTAGTTCCCTTTATAAATAGATTGCAATTCGAAAGAACATTAAAGGATTCACATTTGCGACATCAATCAATCAAATGTGTTTTGTCTAAACGAGTTGTTAATAGTCGCAGTTAATTAACTGAATTGGTTTGTTTTGCAGGACCCGCACACTGGGCCAAGGATTACCCGCAGGCATCCGGACATCGTCAGTCGCCCGTGGACATAACGCCCTCAAGCGCCAAAAAGGGCAGCGATCTGAAGGTGTCGCCGCTTAAATGGAAGTACGTTCCAGAGGATACAAAGAGTCTGGTAAATCCAGGTAGGTTGGCACACAACATCCTTTAAGGTCTGCCAAGCTAAACATGTTCCTCAAACACTTTGCAGGCTATTGCTGGCGCGTGGATGTGAATGGCGCCAACTCGGAGCTGACTGGCGGTCCATTGGGCGATCAGATCTTTAAATTGGAACAGTTCCATTGTCACTGGGGCTGCACAGACTCCAAGGGCTCGGAGCATACGGTCGATGGTGTCTCATATGCCGGCGAACTGCATCTGGTGCACTGGAACACCACCAAGTACAAGTCATTTGGCGAGGCAGCCGCCGCGCCAGATGGTCTGGCAGTGTTGGGAGTTTTCCTGCAGCCGGGCGATCATCATGCTGAGCTGGACAAGGTCAGCAGCCTGTTGCAGTTTGTGCTGCACAAGGGCGATCGCGTTACCCTGCCACAGGGCTGTGATCCTGGCCAGCTGTTGCCCAATGTGCACACCTACTGGACGTATGAGGGTTCGTTGACAACGCCGCCTTGCTCCGAATGTGTCATTTGGATTGTATTCAAGACGCCCATACAAGTTTCCGACGATCAACTGAATGCCATGCGCAATCTCAATGCCTACGATGTCAAGGAGGAATGTCCCTGCAATGAATTCAATGGCAAGGTCATCAACAATTTCCGCCCGCCACTGCCGCTGGGCAAGCGCGAGCTGCGCGAAATTGGCGGACACTGAGAAGGCGTCGTTGGATTGGTCACACGGTCAAAGTCATTGGATAAATCGAGTCGTATGCTTAGCTATATATATTTATATATATATTCATATACACCGCCTGCACCGTAGTAGCGAATCGGTTGAGCTGCTCTGACCCGCCACCAACAAACACCCCGTTCCCGTCTCCTACCATATCATATCCCCAGAGCAGCTGATGCCCATTGTTAATGTCTCGTTTTAGTTTTTATTACTTTATATAGCAAACACTTGTACCTCTTTATATATGTATTTGCTTGTCTAACTGTGTATTTGTATCTTGTATCTTGTTACTGTACGAGTGCTTTGTACGTTTGTTTGTTAAACATTTGCTAAATGACAATTAGATTAATGTGTATTACACTTTACGGTATTAAAAAATAAATATATTACTATTAGATGTTGCATATTGAAAATTAAAAAAAATCGATGTTTCATTTCTTCAATACGTTACCGATTTTTGGGAAACACACAACATGCGATCTTGTCTAATTCTCTATTATATAACAAACTGATTGTTTCAAAATCATTTTTCAAAATATATAACAATATATTCGTCTCATATTTCCATAGGAAGTATGCTTGTTCGAAAAGAATCTCCATACTGTATCAAAAACTCATAAAAATGAATGGCCATAGGAAACCTCGGATAGATATCCACAGGTTTCTATTAAAGAACTTCTATTATATATACTCCCTGACATTAGTTCAGTGCAAACTCTTGTGACGATCGGACGTGTGCATATCTGCTCCCATGGGTGCCTGTGATAGTGCGCCGGTTAGAACAGTTTATTTATTAAAGTAAAAGAGACACTTACCTCGCCCGCCCCAGGGCATACATAGAAACTCTAAATGCAATTCAACACGTGCCGGGGTTCTTGCGCGAGTAAAACTGCATAAGCTTAATTCTAAAAACTCTCTTATCCCAGTACGTGAGAGCTTTAGAGCTTCCGCGAGCAAGCTTTTAATCCGCTCACTAATACGAACATAACCAGTGACAGCGCTGAGCGACCATCTCGTGACTTGATCACCATAAATCGCTCTTTGGGAAAAAATCACTTTTAGAAGTTTAGCTAATTGCTAGTATGGATGATACACCCGCTCCCTCTCAGCCGAGAGTGATCCGACCAGATAAGAATTGAAATGATTAGAATTGCTGGCACTACACCTGCCGAAATTCGGGAAATGACTTCCATAAATACTGCTTCCAACGCTACAATTAAGTGCAGTAGTAGTACTTTTGTTGCCCGCATCGTCAAACTCCTCCTACGCGTCAACCTACACTACCACATCCCCTTCAAGCGGAGGAGTATGCACCATCCCAAATATTAGCTACGCAAGTATAGCTGCAAACGAGCCAGCCCATTATGCTCCGGAAAAAGGGAAGTCATCCCAGAAAGCACTCAGCTGGATGACAACCAAAATAAAACATAAGCTGCCTCCACGTTTAACTAAGGCAAGCGGTAAAAAAGGGAAGTTAATTGCGTCTCAAATATCGACGGACAGTCATCTGAATGAGAGACCAATAAATTCCAATAACCAATTTGCTTATGCTTACTGGCAACAGAGAACGATGAAATAGAGTTAAATGCGGAAAAAGAAGTCAAAGTACCCAGATCCAGGAAGCCACCCTCTATCTTCATCTAAAATGTAAGCAATGTGGCCCAGATGAAGGCAGCGCTTGATGCTGTCATTGGGTCAGATAATTATACCCTCCACGTTGAATCACAAGGAAAAGTGAGAGTTCACATTTTATCAAAGAAAATAATGCACACCACTTTACATATCAACTGAAGGAAGACATGGCCTTCAGGCTTATTATCCGCTATTTGGCTAGCTCCACTCCTAAAGATAACATTAAGGACAAGTTTAGGCGGCTTGGACACATTGTCTTTCGTATCCACAACCCTCGTTCTCGTAAGGTCCGACAACAGGAAGCTATTGAGGAATAATAATAAAAATAATGAGGAAGCGCTGAAAATCAAGCAAATAGGGCGACAAAGAGTCTTGGTGGAGGTGCCTAAGAAGAATTTGGATGCCATTCTTTGCCACAGATGCCAAGGATTTGGACATACAAAAAACTATTGTATGAGCCCTTATACCTGTTGAAAGTGTGCTCAAAATCACCCAACAGCTCAAGGCAAAGAAACTTTGGTTGAGAAACTCTGCTATAACAACTGCGGTGGAAATCATGGGGCTTTGCATAAGGGATGCAATGTTTACAAGGCTAGGACGAAGGAACGAAGGCCAAAAGTAAGCACTAAAGTAAGAACTATAGGATTGAAAAACAATGTCAGTAGCAAAAAAGACCGCCAGCAATATAATCCAGCAGCCTTAGTGCGAGGAAATTTTTCATATGCCGATACTCTGCGTTCTGATCTAGAAAAATTCAATAAAGAGACAACGGCAAAATAGGAACTCTGCCCCCAAGAACCAAAAAACCCCACCCCGCATTAGTTCAAGGTTGGAAGCGGCAATAGAGGCTCTCGCGGTGAAAGTCGACACTCTACAATCTATGTTTAAGGAACTTCAGGAGATGAATCAGTTCCTTAAACAAATGTGTCTAAGTCTTTTGACTGCCAGAAACTGATGAACAGTTCACTAAGCCTCGGATTGTGGAATGCCCCTGATATCTCTGGGTATGTGGAGAAGCTTAAGCACTTCCTAATTGAACATAACATTGATGAGATACTTATTACAGAGACCTGGCTACAAACCGGATCATCTTATCGATAGATCAAGAGGTGAAGCGGCGGTGCTTATTAAGCAGGAGATCGAATTTTCCCAAAATGAACAAGTAAGGACGGATAAATTCCAAATGGCCAGCATCCAGATTGCAACCAGCAGGGGTGAATTAACCATTGCTTCGACATATCTCCCGCTGCAACTGTCGTGGTCAACATTGAAGCTCCAGCAATTGGTGACGCACCACAACAGCTACAAATACTTAGGGGTGCACTTAGACAGGCGCTAGAATTTTAACAAGCACATCACAAGTGTTTTAGTAATCCTGAAAAACAGATTGGGAAAACTAAGATAACTTCTAAACAGTAGAGATGCGTTATCTTTAAAAAATAAAGTAACCATCAATAAAACCTGCATAGCTCCTGCCTGGCATTATTGTATTCAGGCATACGGCATTGCTGCAAACTCTCGTCTTACGAAATCGCTCCGATATCTGTCTGGTGCCCCCTGTTATATTAGAACATCCGATTTGGAAAAAGACCTAGGAGTGCCCAAAGTCGGGGACGTTATAAATATACAGGCTGAATATTACATAGCGCGACTGGGAAAACATCCTAATCGTCTGGCTAGGCGTTCTTTAAAAAAAGTTCTCACCCAATCGATTTCCCATATCGATTTATATAGTCATCCTTGTAAATTTGTATATCAGACTTACCAGTAGAATAAGTAGTTTGTAAATACTCATATAAATTTAATTTAAGTTGTTTCTCATAATAACAGAACAATTAAAAAAAAAAGTAAGAGGTTCTAGTCGGGAGCTCCCGACTAGGGGATACCCTGAAGCCTCTTCTTCCAACATCAAATGATCGCATCAATAGCCGAGTCGATCTAGCCATGTCCGACTGTCTGTCCGTCCGTATGTATAAACGCAAGGATCTCAGATTCCGTAAGAGCTAGAGACCTAAAATTTAGGAAGAAGGTCCTCCTAGTGCCCGCGCAGATCGAGTTTGTTTCCAATATTGGATAACGTGCCCCGTTTCCATGTAATCGATAAAAATCTATATCGAAATCCTGTTTTTTAAGCAATTTTGGTAAATAATAAGAGCTAGAGTCACCAAACTTCTAGAATAATATATATTTGCATTTGGTGTTGGATCCCCTAGTCGGGAGCTCCCGACTAGAACCTCTTACTTGCTTGTATTTAATTTGCTCTTCAGTTTGTGCATGAAAATGTAAAAAAAATTGATGCAAGGTGTTATTCCAGCTACGGCAGGATATTTGTCCCTAAATTAATTAAAATATTATTTGTCTAAAAAGGCCAACATTTTAGCTAAAGATCCAATTCCAATTTTTTATTTACTGCATATTCGAAACATGTTCATTTTTCAAAAAAACCAGCTACCTAGCCCATAGTGCATTGTATCGAAACATTCATTATTCATTTATTAGTTGGGATCCTGTAACAACTAAACGACGACTGTGTTGATTAATGCTCCAGTATATGTATTATTTATAGCGGATAATCTGCAGAATAGTTAGTCAGAGCAGGCGTGCAAAGGCAAATATAGCTTTAAGTATATGCAAATAATAATAACTAAGCCCAGTGGGAATTTAACTTTTGAGCGATTAAAATGTTTCGGTATATTGTTTTTTCCGTGCTGCTGCTTTATATGCTGGTGCAAACGAAACGGGTTGAATGTAAGAGTCATCGAATATTATAGCCAATCACAATTATGTACCAATTAAATAAAAAATTCTAATAGCAACTACGCTTAGCACCCGTCTGGAGTACAAGACAATAGATTTCGTGCCGCAGGAATATGTAGCTCAGTTAAAACCGTTCGAATTAATTGGTCGTAAGTTTTATTTTATTGCAAACAAGCAACTCAACTGGTTTCAAGCGGCACAGGAATGTCGACAAAAAGGCGGTAATCTAATTAACCTGGAAATGGAAGACGAAAGGCTGCTTGTAGGCCTTCGACTGAATGTGAGTCAAAGCTATTGGCTGGACATTAATCGACTGGGTCAAGAGGAATATGTTTCGATTGCGACGGGTCTACAGACTGGCTATGAGAAATGGATCGATGAGGATGTGCAGCATGTGAAGGACCCCAATGAAATGGATGAAGAATTAAACTGTGTAGTCTTAGTAAGCGATTACGAAGATGGTTTTGTGATGAAGCAGGCGCAATGCCTGGAAAAAGCAAACTTCATTTGCCAACTATCCTCACCCCGCACAATTTCCATTGTGGTGTGGTAGTGTTTAATTAAATTAAATTATAGTCATGCCTGAACCAATTCAAGTTTCGACCCGTAAATCTGTTTAAAATATTTAAAAGCACTTCTTTCTTAGTTAACATGCTTTTGATAATGGATATTTTTTTAAATAATAAAAAATAACAATTTTATTCTTCTCCAATTTTGGTTTAGCTTTAAGTATAGCGTAAGGCTCACGCCGTAAGCCAATTTTTGTACTTCAGTCTTAGTCCAGATACTGAACAAAATAAGCGAAGAATTTTACAGCTGGTTAAATAAAATTCTTTTATTGCAAACTTATAACTACGTTATTATATACCCAATAATTAAGTTTAAGGCTTGGTTAATAATAAACAAACAATTGATATTCCGGAGGAAAAATAATTCACTTCTATTCTATATCTATCTTTCTTGCTTTAAATTTTTTCAAATTAATTAAAAACTGTTTGACTTACCACCTTATCATATACAAATCTCGAAATAGTTGAAATAGAGCTAGAAATAGGGAACTGGAGAATGATAGTTTGAACGTATGTCATGCAGTCTGTTTGCCGAATTGCAGCAGCTCTTTTGGTTTGCAAGTCCATTGCTCAAAATATTCGCATTTTAATTGCCGCCAGGCCAGCTGGTAATCCTTTGCCAAGGCTTTGCACTCGGCATAGCTTATAGTTTCGAGATCATTTAAATGCAGATCGAACTTTTCGCGCAGCTCTTGACAGCAGTGCAACAAGTCCAAGCAATTGAGTAGCAGCCTATATTTACTCACTGCCAAAGCAGCTTGTACAGTATTCAGTTTCTGTTTGGTGACGCCCTGACGCTTGCCATCTACTGCAATCTCATAGGGTCTGTGGAAGATTTAGAGATTAAAAAATACTCCCAGAGCTGAGCACAGCTCACCTTAACGACTCGGGCAACTGGGCCCAAATAAGGCTACTCGGCGCCGGCTGCCATTCCGCATATTGCGCATGCTCAAATTTGAGTCGATTATCTATGCGTATGCATGGCTCCTGAGGCTGGTAGCGTCCCAGTGTGCAGTTTCTGCCTCGCCAGCGTTGATAAATGGCACGCTGCAGGCTCTCCAGACGCGCTTCGGCACAACAAAAGTTGAGGCTGCTAAAGTAAATGGGCTTATCGATAACCATATCCAGAAGCGCGCCTTGAACACCCAGCACATTCCAGCGGGACAACTTGTCGCTGCAGGACATGGATAGCGTGCGTTCACCACGACCCGGTTTGGTGCGCAATGCTGCTGGCGTTTGCAGCATGTCATCACACTGGTCTTTCTGCTGGCTTATTAACTTGGCGCCCGTGAATACCGTAGAGCTTGTCGTTAGAGGCAAAGCCGCTTTTGGGTCCAATCGCGATCGCTTCGCTGGCAGCGTCGAGGGCTCGCTGTCGGCCACAATGCACGCATCTCCACAGGGCGTTTGTGTGCTCAGGAAGTGATACTCAAGCTGCTCGTTGAGCGTAAAACAGCCAGCCGCTGGTTTCCAACTGAAGATTGACTGCGCTGCATCCTGTTGCTGATCCTTCTGCGCGTTTGCCGTCAATAGCTGGTTGTGCAAATAGCGTAGGAAAGCTCGTCGCGCCAACACTTCCGCATGGGAATCATTTATTAAAAAGCCTTTGGCACATAGCTTACTCGCACCAATGCATCTGGTGCTGAGTATTTACAATTAGTAAGCTGCATATTAAATATGCTTCTGTTTAAACTGTACGAACCCAGTAGCAAGTGCAACCACTTTGCTGGTTTGCGTTCGTCTGTCGTATTGCACTATGCCGGCCAGAACTGTCCATTGGCTGCTTCTGGGTTTGCCAGTTTTTGGTAAATCGCGAAATTTGCTGTAACATAGTTCAGCTATTTGCTGCACGCTAGGTTTGTCCTTAGTTTTAGAACACATTTAAATACAATTGCTAAGAAGTTGCGATAACATATAAAAATGATGCTATCGATTGTCGATAGAATCTTTATGACGAATTATAGCACAGCTGTTTTGTAAATGACTAATTACCCAACACTGGACATTCATTATCTGGCGTTGTTGCCACAATTTACGCAAATAGTGTTATTTAAATAAAATTTAATATGCCAAAAGTTGTTTCGCGTAGCATTGTTTGCTCGGATACAAAAGATCAAGAGGAATATACTGAGGAGAAGCCGTTAAACATATACTATTGCTTATGTGGCAAAATGTCGCTGATTTTGGGTGCGTAAAAATGTGTTTACATTCAAAACCTTTATTAAATTTACAAATTTATATGACAGATTGTACATTAGAGCAGTTGCCGCTGCGCGAAGCAGATAATGCGCGAGTTATTGATGCCAATGAACATGCCAATAAATTAACTTACAACCCGGCGCCCAGAATGATCTACATACGCCGCAAGGGCAAGGGCATTGAGAAGCAGTATCGATACAGCGTGTGTATTAATAAATAGAAATATTCCATATAATTAATATAGTGAAAGCTTCTTTAAGCGAACAGCCGCGGCTCAAAACTTAAGGCTAGATGTCTAGTTTACAAAACATCTAACTCAGGAAAATCTATGTTAACTAATTGCAAAGTATTTTTACAATTTGAAAGAACTCTAGAAATTTTTGCTGTCATTTTTTTGTTTTTGTATTATTAGTTCTGCTGTCCGCTCTGTTATATGCTCGCCCATAGAGTTTCGCAATACGCAGCTGTTCGTTAATAGAGATTTCATTGCTTATATGTATGATATTATTAACATAAACTCTAATTTACAGTGCCGTAACTGCACCCTGCCATTGTACTATCGACACAATTCCGACTCCCATGTCACATTTGTCATGAGCAATGCGCTGGTGCGCAACAAAGGTGAGAAGCCAGTGGCAATGCTGTTGGCAGCGGAGGCGAAAGACAAAACAGTCAGCAGCACAACTAATGCCGCGAGTGCGCCGCCAAGCACAACAGCTGCTCCCAGCAATGAGGATTTGGGAATAGTGGACGCGAGTGGCAAAAAGATTATGGTCACGCGTCACACCAAGAATATGGGCAAATTTAGCTCCGTTACGGTATCCACCATAGACGAAGAGGAGGATGAAATTGAGGCGGTATAAAAACTGATCACACACCTTTTATTTTGAATAATACAAGTTTTGTCTCTCCATATTACAGCGAGAGATAGCCGATAGCTATGCCAACAATGCGCGTATCATTGAGAAGCAGCTGCAGCGCAAGGGTGGAAAACTGGCTGACCTGGGCGCCAAGCCCAAGGCGGAAGAAATGCCACCGCCGCAAAAAAAACAACGCGGCACACTGCTGGAAAGATAACTGATGCACAAACTCTAAATATCGAGATAAACGCGCACTATTGTTATAGTAAATACACATAAGCAAATGATTGTACGCATATAAATTATTTAGGAAGACCCACCTTTTGTCAAGTTTATATGCCGGATCGGATTTTCTCAAATTTTCTGTATTGAAAATAACCGTAGAATATATTTTCTCCAGTGGGAGTACGCAAAATATTTATCTGAGTAAACACGAGTAAAAAGGGTGTAATGTATTTGTGCAAATATTATCTCTCCGTCCGTCCGTATGTATGAACGCAAGGATCTCAGAACCAGTAAGAGCTAAAAGTTTGAATGTAAGAACGTAGAGTCACCAAACTTGACAAGTAGCTTCTTAAATAACAATAGCTAACTATATATATATCTATATTAAGTACCTTTCATTTTAAAGCTATTGCCACCTAATCGCTACCACCATACAGATATAAATCAAATAATTATCCAGCAATTTTTTTTATCTATCCACCAATTTAAGCCACAATTTGAAGGAAATTGAAAGGAAAGCACAATAAGATCTACTTTCGAAAATATCATCAAGCTCGAATCGAGCTCGTTTGGTAGAAGAGGGTTGAGGGTATCCACTAGTCGGGAACTCCCGCCTCTTACTTGCTTTTTTTTTAAAGACATTTTTAAGCGTTTTCGATAACCTTAAGCCTAATTAAAATCAGAACGCTGTGCAATTAACATAATTGACATTTTAAAGCTTGCCTGCAATTAAATAGACACAACACGTTACAGTTTATCGGCTACACTTGAGACTCGTATCTGTGCAAAGCTTAAAATGAGTTCTTATAGTATGAAAATAATGTTTTTAATATCAATTACATTGATTAATTGTTTTCCAACCGAAACAAATACTCAAGACTGTGAATACGACTGTGTTCCCTTCGAGGAATGTAAACATTTAAAATATTATGCAAGTTTTGTGCAATCAGAAAATGGAATTCAATATTGCAGTGATAAAGATAATATAGTTTGCTGTTGGAACAATAAAAAGAAAGTTATTGCCGAAAAAAGTAAGTAATATATATAAGTTATTTAATTACTGAGTAAAAATTAGATTTTATGCTCAGGAATTCTAGGCATGCGATGAACGTATTCTCTGGTTGTTCTTAATTGAATTTGATATTTTTATACCCTGAACTCATTAAAAATGGGTATAAGGGTATATTGTATTTGTGCAAAATCCAAATGTATGTAACAGGCAGAAGGAAGCATCTCCGACCCCATAAAGTATATATATTCTTGATCAGCATCAATAGCCGAGTCGATCTAGCCATGTCCGTCTGTCTGTCCGTCCGTCCGTCCGTCCGTCCGTCCGTCCGTATGTATGAACGCAAGGATCTCAGAACCTATAAGAGCTAGAAACTTAAAATTTTTGTTTCCGATAATCGATAACTTGCTCCGTTTCCAAGCAATCGATAATAATCGATAACGATATCCTGTTTTTGGGCAATTTTGGTAAATAATAAGAGCTAGAGTCACCAAACTTGACATATAGCTTCTAAAATAGAATATATATATGCATTTGATGTTGGAAGAAGAGGGTTCAGGGTATCCCCTAGTCGGGAGCTCCCGACTAGAACCTCTTACTTGTTTTTATTCTTGTATCCAACATGATACCTCTAGCTATTATAATCTGTCAGAAAAAACTCTATATGTCAGTGGCAGTTAATGTATATATTCTAGATCAACTCAGCTCGATCAAGAATTTATATACTTTATGGGACGGAGATATTTCTAGAATAATAATACCATTCTAGAGAATTTAATTTTGTATATCTTTATTTAATTACTGGTATTTGCATTCTTCTGACTTATTATATGGCAGAATGCTTGGAATTTACAAAGATTAGAGACTTTTGTTCGAGGGAACCGCTCGTTATGAATGGAAGTCAACCAAATCCGCATGCATTTCCTTTTATGGCCTTGATACAAAATCGACTGTTAAATCAAAGTGTATATGAATCACATTGCGGTGGCACGTTATTAAATTCAATGTTTGTGCTCACGGCGGCACATTGTGTGGATAAAATCCAATTTCCGGATAGGTAGGTCTTTTAACACTGTTTTAATATTATTTTATTATATATTATTATTTATAGGGAATTTTCTGTGCTGTTAGGAGCCCATGATAAAAATAATTCCGGCACGCGGTTTAATGTGACAGTCTTTGCTCATCCCAACTTTACCACAGATGATCCTTATGCTGATCTTGCCCTGTTGAAACTGCACAATGAGGCGGATATTACAACAAAATTTATAAAGCCAGCCTGCCTATCCACATCTACTAGCAGTACAACTGGAGAATATACTGTTGGTGGTTGGGGGTATCATAATACTCGAAGCAAATCAAATGTGTTGTTAATTGGAACAGTGGTTAAAGCAGATTCTAAGAAATGTCCTAATGACCTAACTTTCAATATGGATAAACAAATTTGTGCAGGACCCAAAAACGATTTGGGAGACGTTTGCAATGGAGATTCTGGTGGTCCATTGTTTACCATTCATAATGATAATGATTGCCTTTTTGAGGTTTTTGGTGTTCTGTCTGGTGGTGCTCTATGTACCTTAAGGTATTCATTTTCAAGTCATACTTTAGTTTCCTTTTATCGTGAATGGATAGAGAGTATGGTATGGCCAGATGAAAAACAAAATTTTTGAAACCTTAGAGTTTTAGTTATAAATATATATTTTAGGGTGGGACTGGACTAGAAGTTCCTCTACTAAATTGATCACAACAAGACTTGCGTACCATTTTAACAGCAATTTAATAATGTTTTTAATAAATTGCTTACTAATTATGAGTTTAATACCTTTAAATTATTGGAAGTTTATTGCTTTTTATTCATTTGTCACTTTCAAAGACATATCAGGATTATTTCACTAATTTGGGTATTTAAGCTTTTTAGTTCGGTTGCCCGTTATTATGTGCATAAGACAATACACATTCTGTATAAAGACTGGATTATTACCGCTGAAATGGGAATTAACTACTTTGGTATAGATATTAATTTAAATAAGGTGCAACGTAATATGAAAGTTATCGCTTATCGAATATGTGTAGCGTTTGCCAGCACTGATAAACGAATGTTGCTGCTAACTTAACGTCGTTGTAAGCAGAATTTGCAGAGAAAATATATTGAAAAAAATTGTGTGTATAGTATGTGAAAACATAGTTTTGTTTTTGTTCGTTACGGTTGCAAATAGATATCACGGCGCGTAAGTCAAGCAGCAAAAAACACTAAACGAAAAAAGAGGACAGACGCAAACGCTAAAAATGTTGCTGCCCGACGAAGACGTTGCTGTTGACTAATAACAAGAGCTTGTGTATGTGTGTGCGCGTGTACATGTGCATGTGTGTGTGTGTATGCGCATGTATGTGAGTGTGGAGTGCAGAAATGTTTTCCAGCGTTGGCAGCCATGGGATTAGCGTTGGCATTGCCTCCACCGTGCATGACACCGATGGCTATGATTTTACGAAAAACGAGAATGCGGCACGTTGGCGCGGCCTATTTGTACCATCACTGCGCAAGGTGTTGGAGCAGGTGAATCCGCGCGTAACAGCCAAAGAAGATGCCCTGCTCTACGTGGAGAATCTATGCGTCCGCCTCTTGGCAAAATTATGCGCGCAGCCATTGCCACACTCAGTGCAGGATGTGGAGGAGAAGGTGAACAAATCACCGCTTGATCGTTGGGCCCTCAAGGAGGCCAACGAGGTGATCAATTCGAAGAAGCGCAAATGTTTGCTGCCCACAGAGCGTGTTCATACGCTGCTGCAGAAAGATGTGCTACAATATAAAATCGATAGCTCCGTATCGGCATATTTGGTCGCTGTGCTCGAGTGCATCTCATCGGATATACTGAAAATGGCTGCGGATTATGTGTGCAACATCGCGCATAGCGAAATCGTGAAAGAGGATATTGAGGTGGTTCTCAATGCGGATGGTGTCCTACTCGATATGCTCAATCGTAGCAGCGAGCAGCTCAAGTGTAATGTCCTGCCCAGTCCGCTGTCTCTGCAGGCGCAGCGTGCGAGCGCCACGTACGAGGAGACAGTGAAGGAGCTGATCAACGATGAAAAACAATATCAACGGGATTTGCATATGATTATACGGGTATTTCGCGAAGAGCTTGTCAAGATAGCGCGCGATCCCAAGGAGCTGGAGCCGATCTTCTCAAATATTATGGATATATATGAGGTTACGGTAACGCTATTGGGCTCTCTGGAGGATGTAATTGAAATGTCGCAGGAACAGAATGCGCCCTGCGTTGCCAGCTGCTTTGAGGAGCTAGCCGAGGCCGAGGAGTTTGATGTGTATAAGAAATATGCACACGATGTCACCTCGCAGGCGTCGCGCGATGCACTCAGCAATCTGCTGGCCAAGCCAGATGCATTGTCATTAATGTCAGCGGGACATGGCTTTCGAGAGGCGGTCAAGTATTATTTGCCCAAGCTGCTTCTGGTGCCCATTTGCCATGCGTTTGTCTATTTTGATTACATCAAGCACCTTATGGATCTCAGTACATCACAGGATGACATCGAGAGTTTTGCCCAGGTGCAGGGTTTGCTTCATCCGCTGCACTGTGATCTCGAAAAGGTAATGGCCAATCTGTCCAAGGAGCGACTTGTGCCGGTCAGCGGTCGCGTTCGACGCCAAATGGCCATTGAGCGCACACGCGAACTCCAGCTCAAAGTGGAGCACTGGGATGACAAGGATGTGGGCCTAAATTGTAACGAGTTCATACGCGGTAAGTCGATTTGTGCGTCTTTTAAGTAAAACGATATACTAATTACAATAATTTGCAGAGGATGCACTCAGCAAACTCGGCTCAGGCAAGCGAATCTGGAGCGAGCGTAAAGTATTCCTTTTTGATGGCCTCATGGTGCTATGCAAAGCGAATACCAAAAAGCAAACTCCATCGGCAGGCGCGACCGCCTATGACTACAGGCTGAAGGAGAAGTTTTTTATGCGTCGCGTCGAGATTAACGATCGTGCGGACACGGAGGAGTTGAAGCATAGCTTTGAGCTAATCACCCGCATGCATCCGGCCATTGTGCTGTCGGCTAAGAATGCCCAACACAAAAACGATTGGATGGCGGATTTGATAATGGTGAATACCAAATCGATGTTAGATCGCATACTGGACAGCATACTGCAGGATATAGAGCGCAAACATCCGCTACGCATGCCCAGCCCGGAGATATACAAGTTTGCTGTGCCGGACAGCGCCGAGAATATTGTGCTCGAGGAGCGAGACAGCGGTGTGGTGCCCATGATCAAGGGGGCCACACTGTGCAAACTAATTGAGCGCCTCACCTATCACATTTATGCGGATCCAACATTTGTGCGCACCTTTCTCACCACATATCGGTATTTTTGCTCACCGCAGCAGCTGCTTACGTTGCTGATAGAGCGCTTTGAAATACCCGAGCCGAGCCTGGTTTATCAGGAACAGCAGACAAATAATATTGGCGGCGGTGGCGGTAACTCTGATCTCGATAAGGATGCAGCGACAGCGACTGCGTCAACGGCGGACAGTGATAAAATGCTTAAGAACTCGCAGCGCGAGGATTGGAAACGTTATCGCAAGGAGTTTGTCCAGCCGGTGCAGTTTCGTGTGCTAAATGTGCTGCGGCACTGGGTGGATCATCATTTTTATGATTTTGAGAAGGATCCGACACTGCTGGACAGACTGTTACACTTTCTCAACGATGTCAACAGCAAATCCATGCGTAAATGGGTCGACTCTGTGCGCAAGATTGTCGATCGTAAGGTAAAGCGTTGAACTTACATAAATTGCAACTATTAAAAGTAATTTGTTAGTCAGATTTTCAATTTAATGTCTTGTGACTATGAATCATAGATGATTAGTTTAAAGATGCCTATGCCTTTAATAGGTTAGCAATTTATAGAAACAATCTGATACTATTATACATTCATGGCAGATCTGTTAAAAGTTTGAACAGACACGCCTCTAAATATAATTTAAATTGGCTTTAAGACTCTCAGGCATTGAAAATCTTAGCGTATATGTTAACCAGATCCAACCAAATCGTACAATATATACTAATTTATGGCTATCTCTTCTCTGCAGAATAAACAAAGCAATAAGAAAATCGTCTATGCCTACGGGCATGATCCGCCGCCCATTGAATACCATCTGAATGTGCCGGATGATGAGATTACGCTGCTTACTCTACATCCGCTGGAGGTGGCGCGACAGCTGACACTGCTGGAATTTGAGATGTACAAGAATGTGAAGCCATCGGAGCTGGTCGGGTCGCCGTGGACTAAGAAGGACAAGGAACTAAAGAGTCCCAATCTGCTCAAGATCATGAAGCATACCACAAATGTAACGCGCTGGATCGAAAGGTCCATCATGGAGGCGGAGAACTACGATGAACGTTTGGCCATTATGCAGCGCGCCATTGAGGTGATGATGGTCATGCTCGAGTTAAACAATTTCAATGGCATACTCTCAATTGTGGCTGCCATGGGCACAGCTGCTGTTTTTCGTTTGCGCGCCACATTCAATGGGTTGCCAGAACGGCATCGTAAGTTCCTGGACGAGTGCCGTGAACTGAGCGAGGATCATTTGAAGAAATACCAGGAACGTTTGCGCTCCATTAATCCGCCCTGCGTGCCATTCTTTGGTCGTTATCTAACAAATATTTTGCATCTGGAGGAAGGCAATCCGGATCTGTTGACCAACACGGAGCTTATCAATTTCTCGAAACGGCGAAAGGTGTCGGAGATCATCGGCGAGATACAACAGTACCAGAATCAGCCGTATTGTCTCAACGAAGAACCCACCATACGGCACTTTTTCGAGCAGCTGGATCCCTTCAATGGACTATCCGACAAGGAAATGTCCGACTATCTATACAATGAGAGTCTACGCATTGAGCCGCGCGCCTGCAAAACTGTACCCAAATTCGTAAGTCTAAACGCCTGAGCAACAAAATCTCGAGAAGTCTCACCTCAAATCCTTTTCATTTTGCAGCCCCGCAAATGGCCGAACATTCCGCTTAAATCGCCGGGCATTAAACCTCGTCGCCAGAACCAAAACAACAACAGCAATAAGTTGTCCAGCAATGCGCCAGCCAATGTGGAGCCACCAGCAGCGGCGGCGGCGGCGTCGTCAACAGCAAGTACGACGGCAGCCAGCATCGGCGATCAGAGTCCGCAGCATAATCCCCATGCGTATTCCGTATTTGCGCCGGTCATCATACCGGAGCGCAATGGCGGCAGCAGCTGGAGCAGCCATACGATGCACCGCACCACAGACAATGGTGAAGTGGCGCCGGCGCCGCATCTGCCACGCAAGCCGGCAGCGCATGTCTGGACACACAACAGCAATGCTCCAACGGATGGGTTTAGTCCAGCGGAGCAACAGTTGCCACCGCCGGCAACATCGGCTGCGGCTACCAGCAGCTGGAACATGTCAGATTGTTATGTCATTTCGGATGCGAATACAGCTGATGTGTTGCCGCCATCGCCACTGCCCAAGCTGATGATTAGTCCAAGGCACGAGACTGCTCCACCACCGCCGCCGCCCGCCAGCAATCGCTCACCATTCCATGGACGCATCCAACAGATGCAATATAGTCCGACGCACAGCATTGCCAGCACGGTGACGCTTATTAGCGGCGGTTTCGGTGATGTGAGTCCACAGCTGGGCGGCTTCTACTATAACAGTGAACAGGGCCAGGGCCAGACAGGCGCAGTGCCCATATCGCCGCATGTGAATGTGCCCACAGCAACCACATTGGAGTATCGAGCGGTGCCGCCACCATTGCCACCGCGACGCAAAGAGCGCACGGAAAGCTGTGCGGATATGGCACAGAAGCGCCAAGCGCCCGATGCACCCACAGTAAGTGGAGGCCTGCTTAATAAACTTTATATTCTAACCGTTTTATTCTGTTTTGATAGCTACCTCCGCGCGATGGCGAGCTGAGCCCACCGCCCATACCGCCCAGACTCAATCATTCCACGGCAACGGGCCTTACCCGTCAGCCAAAGGAGTTTGTGGGCAAGAGCAGCAGCCTGCTGTTGCCCAACACGAGCAGTATTATGATACGCCGTAATTCGGCAAAGCAACCATCGCTGGGTGTGAACACGTCAGCTGTGACGGCCAACAATAGTGCTGCCGCAACTCCAACAATGATGGCTCAGTCCATGGCCATGGCGGGCAGTGAAGAGCCACAGCAGCAACAACAGTTGCAGCAGCCGCCGCAGTCGATCTCGCCAGCGTTAAGCTCCTCGACAACCACATCACCCATGACACCTATGACGCCCATGTCACCGTACATTCCCAGCACAGTAGACGGCAGCACGACGAGCAGTTTCCCACAGCATCAGCAACAGCAGCATCAGCATCAAACACGCCTAAGGCCACAGACTGCGCAAACGCAACAACCAGTGGCTTATGCACAACAGCATCAACATCATCACCAGCATCAGCACCAACAGCATCATTCCCATTCACATCCGCATACGCATACGCATACGCATTCACAGCATCAACATCCATCACAGCACCCGAACAGACGCTCGTCCCCAAAGGAATTCTTTCCGATTGCCACGAGCCATGAGGGCACACCCAAACTTCCACCAAAACCTAGTCTAAGCGCAAACTTCTACAACAATCCAGGTGAGCTTCGATACCTAACCAAATCGTAAATATTTCTTAATAAAATCTTCTTTTAAATTTTTTACGTTCCAGATAAAGGTACGATGTTTCTTTACCCAAGTACAAACCAAGAATAATATTTATTGCCTGGCGATGTGTGATAGGACTAAAACAAAAAACGAGAGAATACCACAGAAATAGAGAAAACGTGGCAGCAAGTGCATAGGAAATAGGAAATAAAACAGATATAGATACACAAAACAGTAAAACAAAACACAAAAAAAAAAAAACAAGAACAATGTATATGTATGTGTATTCAATGAGATATATAGTATGGACCGAGTTAAATGCGACGATTTTTATTATTCGAAACTCAAAAAATAAACAAAACATTTTCAAGTGAAAATTTCTGTTATTATATTAATTATATGATAAACAATTGTAAATATCGAGAACATTGTATTGATCGTAGCCCGTAAAAACAATAAAATATAACATTACTGTTAGAGATTCGCATTGATCGAATTATTAGATGCATTTTTATCTAACGTAAATATTTCGATACGGAATCGGGGACTTATAGATTTTAAATAAAATGACGTAGGTTTCCAGACCAACAAATTTTCTATTCAGGAAAGTTATCAATTCATAATAACTTTAAGACCTTTTAGAAATAATCTTAATTCATTCCAAATTCTGTTTTATTTTAATTCAATTTTTTTAAGGAATTGTTAAACTTATTTAATTTCTTACAATTTTTTTAAAACACAAAGTAATACGTTCTCCAAACGAGTTCCTATAAAACTAATCTCTACGTCTACAGAGTATCTAGTGGCCATGTATTCACTCTGAAAACATTGCCAATGCAAGCGCCCAAAACATGTTTTTAATATTCAATTCTAAACGATTTTCATGCCTCATTATCAAATTTCATGATGGCATTCTTGAGGATTTTGGTCAACGGCCTTGTCCAAGCATAAACGAGACAAAACTGTGTCATTAACCAGCTAGAAAAGAAACCCAACAGTTTACCGGAACACCTGCCATCAACTGGACGATTAAATAATTGAAAGGTATTCGAGATATCGTTAATTACTTTAAATAGCAGGAAAGCCCCCATGTCGATAGAGTTTAGTTAAAGTATAGACGGGGGCATACCGAAAGAGGGCCCATTAAATGTGATTGTGCTAATTGTTGTCGCTTGTTTGTGTTGTGCATTGAAATTAAATCACAACTGTTTGTTTCCTTTCGCTTTTCTGACAAAGTCGATGACGTCGCTCAAATGCTTCCTGAATTTTGGATAATTGCATCGCAACTGGTTTCATTTTTGTGCATTTCTGAGACATTTATTTTTGCAACGAGTGCAAGGGCCGGTTTTTTTGATTTTGGTTTTGTACACGCCTACCCTAGCAGAAGGTATTACAATAATCCGTAACACTTCGCGAATGGTTTTATGTACATACGTAGCCCATGTCTTTGGGCACTCTATTTATAGACAACACCCAATTTCGCAGCGCATATATAGTAAAAAAGTAAACCCATCATTTTGCCTTTTGTGTAGAACATGTTTTATCATCGATCCGATCATTCAACCTCGTTACATATTCTATTAAATATTTCTTTACTTGGGTTCTAAATTAGAAATTTCTTATAAATGAAATGTAAATCCTAAATGAATGTGTAAATCCTAATGGTACAAATTATTCTTGATTCTTGAGTTGAGAGTTTTTCAAATTACAATGTAAACTGAAGTATTAAATAATATGTTGCAATCTGCTGGCCAAGCCAGATGCATTGTCATTAATGTCAGCGGGACATGGCTTTCGAGAGGCGGTCAAGTATTATTTGCCCAAGCTGCTTCTGGTGCCCATTTGCCATGCGTTTGTCTATTTTGATTACATCAAGCACCTTATGGATCTCAGTACATCACAGGATGACATCGAGAGTTTTGCCCAGGTGCAGGGTTTGCTTCATCCGCTGCACTGTGATCTCGAAAAGGTAATGGCCAATCTGTCCAAGGAGCGACTTGTGCCGGTCAGCGGTCGCGTTCGACGCCAAATGGCCATTGAGCGCACACGCGAACTCCAGCTCAAAGTGGAGCACTGGGATGACAAGGATGTGGGCCTAAATTGTAACGAGTTCATACGCGGTAAGTCGATTTGTGCGTCTTTTAAGTAAAACGATATACTAATTACAATAATTTGCAGAGGATGCACTCAGCAAACTCGGCTCAGGCAAGCGAATCTGGAGCGAGCGTAAAGTATTCCTTTTTGATGGCCTCATGGTGCTATGCAAAGCGAATACCAAAAAGCAAACTCCATCGGCAGGCGCGACCGCCTATGACTACAGGCTGAAGGAGAAGTTTTTTATGCGTCGCGTCGAGATTAACGATCGTGCGGACACGGAGGAGTTGAAGCATAGCTTTGAGCTAATCACCCGCATGCATCCGGCCATTGTGCTGTCGGCTAAGAATGCCCAACACAAAAACGATTGGATGGCGGATTTGATAATGGTGAATACCAAATCGATGTTAGATCGCATACTGGACAGCATACTGCAGGATATAGAGCGCAAACATCCGCTACGCATGCCCAGCCCGGAGATATACAAGTTTGCTGTGCCGGACAGCGCCGAGAATATTGTGCTCGAGGAGCGAGACAGCGGTGTGGTGCCCATGATCAAGGGGGCCACACTGTGCAAACTAATTGAGCGCCTCACCTATCACATTTATGCGGATCCAACATTTGTGCGCACCTTTCTCACCACATATCGGTATTTTTGCTCACCGCAGCAGCTGCTTACGTTGCTGATAGAGCGCTTTGAAATACCCGAGCCGAGCCTGGTTTATCAGGAACAGCAGACAAATAATATTGGCGGCGGTGGCGGTAACTCTGATCTCGATAAGGATGCAGCGACAGCGACTGCGTCAACGGCGGACAGTGATAAAATGCTTAAGAACTCGCAGCGCGAGGATTGGAAACGTTATCGCAAGGAGTTTGTCCAGCCGGTGCAGTTTCGTGTGCTAAATGTGCTGCGGCACTGGGTGGATCATCATTTTTATGATTTTGAGAAGGATCCGACACTGCTGGACAGACTGTTACACTTTCTCAACGATGTCAACAGCAAATCCATGCGTAAATGGGTCGACTCTGTGCGCAAGATTGTCGATCGTAAGGTAAAGCGTTGAACTTACATAAATTGCAACTATTAAAAGTAATTTGTTAGTCAGATTTTCAATTTAATGTCTTGTGACTATGAATCATAGATGATTAGTTTAAAGATGCCTATGCCTTTAATAGGTTAGCAATTTATAGAAACAATCTGATACTATTATACATTCATGGCAGATCTGTTAAAAGTTTGAACAGACACGCCTCTAAATATAATTTAAATTGGCTTTAAGACTCTCAGGCATTGAAAATCTTAGCGTATATGTTAACCAGATCCAACCAAATCGTACAATATATACTAATTTATGGCTATCTCTTCTCTGCAGAATAAACAAAGCAATAAGAAAATCGTCTATGCCTACGGGCATGATCCGCCGCCCATTGAATACCATCTGAATGTGCCGGATGATGAGATTACGCTGCTTACTCTACATCCGCTGGAGGTGGCGCGACAGCTGACACTGCTGGAATTTGAGATGTACAAGAATGTGAAGCCATCGGAGCTGGTCGGGTCGCCGTGGACTAAGAAGGACAAGGAACTAAAGAGTCCCAATCTGCTCAAGATCATGAAGCATACCACAAATGTAACGCGCTGGATCGAAAGGTCCATCATGGAGGCGGAGAACTACGATGAACGTTTGGCCATTATGCAGCGCGCCATTGAGGTGATGATGGTCATGCTCGAGTTAAACAATTTCAATGGCATACTCTCAATTGTGGCTGCCATGGGCACAGCTGCTGTTTTTCGTTTGCGCGCCACATTCAATGGGTTGCCAGAACGGCATCGTAAGTTCCTGGACGAGTGCCGTGAACTGAGCGAGGATCATTTGAAGAAATACCAGGAACGTTTGCGCTCCATTAATCCGCCCTGCGTGCCATTCTTTGGTCGTTATCTAACAAATATTTTGCATCTGGAGGAAGGCAATCCGGATCTGTTGACCAACACGGAGCTTATCAATTTCTCGAAACGGCGAAAGGTGTCGGAGATCATCGGCGAGATACAACAGTACCAGAATCAGCCGTATTGTCTCAACGAAGAACCCACCATACGGCACTTTTTCGAGCAGCTGGATCCCTTCAATGGACTATCCGACAAGGAAATGTCCGACTATCTATACAATGAGAGTCTACGCATTGAGCCGCGCGCCTGCAAAACTGTACCCAAATTCGTAAGTCTAAACGCCTGAGCAACAAAATCTCGAGAAGTCTCACCTCAAATCCTTTTCATTTTGCAGCCCCGCAAATGGCCGAACATTCCGCTTAAATCGCCGGGCATTAAACCTCGTCGCCAGAACCAAAACAACAACAGCAATAAGTTGTCCAGCAATGCGCCAGCCAATGTGGAGCCACCAGCAGCGGCGGCGGCGGCGTCGTCAACAGCAAGTACGACGGCAGCCAGCATCGGCGATCAGAGTCCGCAGCATAATCCCCATGCGTATTCCGTATTTGCGCCGGTCATCATACCGGAGCGCAATGGCGGCAGCAGCTGGAGCAGCCATACGATGCACCGCACCACAGACAATGGTGAAGTGGCGCCGGCGCCGCATCTGCCACGCAAGCCGGCAGCGCATGTCTGGACACACAACAGCAATGCTCCAACGGATGGGTTTAGTCCAGCGGAGCAACAGTTGCCACCGCCGGCAACATCGGCTGCGGCTACCAGCAGCTGGAACATGTCAGATTGTTATGTCATTTCGGATGCGAATACAGCTGATGTGTTGCCGCCATCGCCACTGCCCAAGCTGATGATTAGTCCAAGGCACGAGACTGCTCCACCACCGCCGCCGCCCGCCAGCAATCGCTCACCATTCCATGGACGCATCCAACAGATGCAATATAGTCCGACGCACAGCATTGCCAGCACGGTGACGCTTATTAGCGGCGGTTTCGGTGATGTGAGTCCACAGCTGGGCGGCTTCTACTATAACAGTGAACAGGGCCAGGGCCAGACAGGCGCAGTGCCCATATCGCCGCATGTGAATGTGCCCACAGCAACCACATTGGAGTATCGAGCGGTGCCGCCACCATTGCCACCGCGACGCAAAGAGCGCACGGAAAGCTGTGCGGATATGGCACAGAAGCGCCAAGCGCCCGATGCACCCACAGTAAGTGGAGGCCTGCTTAATTAACTTTATATTCTAACCGTTTTATTCTGTTTTGATAGCTACCTCCGCGCGATGGCGAGCTGAGCCCACCGCCCATACCGCCCAGACTCAATCATTCCACGGCAACGGGCCTTACCCGTCAGCCAAAGGAGTTTGTGGGCAAGAGCAGCAGCCTGCTGTTGCCCAACACGAGCAGTATTATGATACGCCGTAATTCGGCAAAGCAACCATCGCTGGGTGTGAACACGTCAGCTGTGACGGCCAACAATAGTGCTGCCGCAACTCCAACAATGATGGCTCAGTCCATGGCCATGGCGGGCAGTGAAGAGCCACAGCAGCAACAACAGTTGCAGCAGCCGCCGCAGTCGATCTCGCCAGCGTTAAGCTCCTCGACAACCACATCACCCATGACACCTATGACGCCCATGTCACCGTACATTCCCAGCACAGTAGACGGCAGCACGACGAGCAGTTTCCCACAGCATCAGCAACAGCAGCATCAGCATCAAACACGCCTAAGGCCACAGACTGCGCAAACGCAACAACCAGTGGCTTATGCACAACAGCATCAACATCATCACCAGCATCAGCACCAACAGCATCATTCCCATTCACATCCGCATACGCATACGCATACGCATTCACAGCATCAACATCCATCACAGCACCCGAACAGACGCTCGTCCCCAAAGGAATTCTTTCCGATTGCCACGAGCCATGAGGGCACACCCAAACTTCCACCAAAACCTAGTCTAAGCGCAAACTTCTACAACAATCCAGGTGAGCTTCGATACCTAACCAAATCGTAAATATTTCTTAATAAAATCTTCTTTTAAATTTTTTACGTTCCAGATAAAGGTACGATGTTTCTTTACCCAAGTACAAACCAAGAATAATATTTATTGCCTGGCGATGTGTGATAGGACTAAAACAAAAAACGAGAGAATACCACAGAAATAGAGAAAACGTGGCAGCAAGTGCATAGGAAATAGGAAATAAAACAGATATAGATACACAAAACAGTAAAACAAAACACAAAAAAAAAAAAACAAGAACAATGTATATGTATGTGTATTCAATGAGATATATAGTATGGACCGAGTTAAATGCGACGATTTTTATTATTCGAAACTCAAAAAATAAACAAAACATTTTCAAGTGAAAATTTCTGTTATTATATTAATTATATGATAAACAATTGTAAATATCGAGAACATTGTATTGATCGTAGCCCGTAAAAACAATAAAATATAACATTACTGTTAGAGATTCGCATTGATCGAATTATTAGATGCATTTTTATCTAACGTAAATATTTCGATACGGAATCGGGGACTTATAGATTTTAAATAAAATGACGTAGGTTTCCAGACCAACAAATTTTCTATTCAGGAAAGTTATCAATTCATAATAACTTTAAGACCTTTTAGAAATAATCTTAATTCATTCCAAATTCTGTTTTATTTTAATTCAATTTTTTTAAGGAATTGTTGTTAAACTTATTTAATTTCTTACAATTTTTTTAAAACACAAAGTAATACGTTCTCCAAACGAGTTCCTATAAAACTAATCTCTACGTCTACAGAGTATCTAGTGGCCATGTATTCACTCTGAAAACATTGCCAATGCAAGCGCCCAAAACATGTTTTTAATATTCAATTCTAAACGATTTTCATGCCTCATTATCAAATTTCATGATGGCATTCTTGAGGATTTTGGTCAACGGCCTTGTCCAAGCATAAACGAGACAAAACTGTGTCATTAACCAGCTAGAAAAGAAACCCAACAGTTTACCGGAACACCTGCCATCAACTGGACGATTAAATAATTGAAAGGTATTCGAGATATCGTTAATTACTTTAAATAGCAGGAAAGCCCCCATGTCGATAGAGTTTAGTTAAAGTATAGACGGGGGCATACCGAAAGAGGGCCCATTAAATGTGATTGTGCTAATTGTTGTCGCTTGTTTGTGTTGTGCATTGAAATTAAATCACAACTGTTTGTTTCCTTTCGCTTTTCTGACAAAGTCGATGACGTCGCTCAAATGCTTCCTGAATTTTGGATAATTGCATCGCAACTGGTTTCATTTTTGTGCATTTCTGAGACATTCATTTTTGCAACGAGTGCAAGGGCCGGTTTTTTTGATTTTGGTTTTGTACACGCCTACCCTAGCAGAAGGTATTACAATAATCCGTAACACTTCGCGAATGGTTTTATGTACATACGTAGCCCATGTCTTTGGGCACTCTATTTATAGACAACACCCAATTTCGCAGCGCATATATAGTAAAAAAGTAAACCCATCATTTTGCCTTTTGTGTAGAACATGTTTTATCATCGATCCGATCATTCAACCTCGTTACATATTCTATTAAATATTTCTTTACTTGGGTTCTAAATTAGAAATTTCTTATAAATGAAATGTAAATCCTAAATGAATGTGTAAATCCTAATGGTACAAATTATTCTTGATTCTTGAGTTGAGAGTTTTTCAAATTACAATGTAAACTGAAGTATTAAATAATATGTTGTCAAGTCAAGACAAGAAGCGGTTCCAACAAAGGAAATGAAATGTGATCAACTTTTAAGTAATTTTGTAATGATATGGTTTTCTTTCGAGGGGTGGGGCGGTCGGTTTGTGTGGCTGTCAGGTTGTCTATCGTCTTTCCCATATAGTAGATACTTTATGATCTTATTTAATCGAACCTAACATTTAAAGATATATACGTGTATCTGAAAACAGTGTAAACTATAATGAATTATTAGGCCATTCACAATGTGAAACTTTCAAAAATAAGAACCAGCTCTGAAACTGAAAGATTTTCATTAAAGATTGCGTGAAACATAGGCATACTACAAAAGTTTGAAGTTGAAGGGTATTCAAGATTCGACACCTTAAAATGATTTAATTATTTATTGGTAACTTTATTACGAACACGATTTAGGTTTACATTGATGGGAAAGCACATGCGCTTAAAAAAAGGGTTTGTATTGCAGGTTGAATAACCGTGGCACAAAACTGCGTCACAATCCGATCAGTTCCAGAAATAATAACAAAAACCCCAAAACTAAACGTCATAATTTGTTCTCAAACGAGAATTTCGTTGAGTAATCAAATATGCAGAAGTAAAATACACATTAAATGTATATACATAATATAAGAAATTATTTGATTATGTGGACACTTGAGAAATTCTCGTGTGTAATTTCGCTTTTATTTATAGAGACTTCGACAGTGTAACGACAGTCAAGGCCGTTGGCCAAGATCAGTTCCTTAACTTTTGCTTTCAGAATGAGAAACAGCTTAACTGATAGAACGCTCGACAATATAACAAAAATAATATAAAGCAATTGCCTTTGGTCAATTTATTAAACAAATACTTTCATTCGCAGTGTTGACCAACTTCTTATAGAGACTATTAAATATGCACATGATCTACGCGACCTACGGCAATAATTTAAGCATAGAGTTCTCTCGGTCTGTTCAAATCTTTCGAGCATTTGCATATCACGTTTCAGTTGCGCAATTAACTCGTTAATAACAAACCATTCATTCAAAAAAAAAAAAAAGGTTATAAAAAAGATTTAAAAAAAAAAACACCCACAGCAATTGCAAAAATTACTCATTTGAATTTGCATTTAATTTGCCGTTGATTGTGGCTAATGAGAGAGAAATCTGCCAACAACAATTCACATTAGATACCTCTTCGAAGGCAACACGGCGTCTCACACAATTAACGTTTAAATTGCTCAACTACATAATTGCATTACATGAGCAAATCAAATTTACAAACCAATTAAATTCCACGAAAAAAAGCGCACCAGAATACCCCTAACATTCCATCATATACCACTATAAAGCACTTTTCATTTTGCAAGCAGCATCATTTGCTCAATTAAAACTATCTTTTTTTTTTCATTCAGTCCAATAAAATTCTTAGTATACGACGATGAGTAAGTGAAAAACCCCCAATAACTGAAAAATAAAGCGTCATCATTAGGCGTATAAAGAATGACCATAAAAATAAATTTAAAAAAAATAAATAAATAAAACAACAAAAAAAAGAGAGACCTTAGATAATAATATATGGTTATATTATCATATATGTATATTTTTTTTATAAATATTATAACGTATGATATTTATCATATCTTAAACTTTATTCAGCATTGTTTGATTGTGCCTGTAGAGTTGATTAAGAAAAGAGATCTATGTATATATACATATTTGAAAGTCCAGTTAAAACATATCGATCATAATTTACGTATAAAGTAATTATTCATCTTACAGGGTCAGTTCCAAAGCTCCTCACTTAACTAATGTAATATTTTATTAATCTTTCGAATCAACGTATAATAACTCTGGCTACTGTGGCCTTCGGCCACATGCCCTTGGGCTTCCAACCAGGAATCTAATGTGAAGCATTTTCTTTTAATTTTTATATCATTTAGATATTGTCAATTATTTTGTATGGAACCTAACTTATTAACATGAAAACTGCTATCAAGCTCAACATTCTACTCGCACTTACTTGAATATTTAATAGATTATAGAGAAAGCATGATCGTAAAATAATTTATAGATTAATTTATATATATATAGAAATATAGTATAATTGTTAATATGCTGGCATTCATAAAACACCAACATATAATAGATCCCTGAGAAAGAAGCATTTGCTTTACAACTATATATATATATATTCAAAATCCATTCATTCAACAGATAAAAATAATTTTTTAAGCTATTCACTATTTTGTGTATTTACGTCTTCGAAGTAATAGAAAGTGAATGTATGTAGTTTAAAGAAAAACCAATTTGAAAAGAAAACTAAATCGAATTTTGAAAGTTAAGCTCAGTTTTAAAACATGCCATTATCGCAAATAAGTTGGAAACTTGCCTCTCGCTCGATTAATTATGAGATCGATGATGGGATTCGGTTTGGGTTTAGGATTGATTGAGCTGCAGGTGTGTGCGTTTTTTTTTTTATACTTTTCCATATTGTGTAAGTAAATAACTAGCGGGTATGAAAAAAAAAATAAAATAAAAATAAAATGAAAAAAAACGCAGCCGAGAACCGAGAACCGAGCGGGTTTAGCGATCTTGCTGGGAGAGCGTCGGCATTGTCTTAATGTAATTCGTGTGTGTAAGCGAGTGTACGAGTGTGTGCGCGCGTGTGTGTGTGTGTGTGTCTCAGCTTTTATAAAAGCAGCAAGAACCACAACAATTCGTTCAGTTCGGTAGTGAACTTCAGAATCATTGTCAAGTGTGTGCACCCAGTACGGCCAGGGATCAGCAGTGTCCACAGCTACAAAAAAAAAAAAGAAAAAATAATAATAATAAAAAAGCACAGGCATTTCGTACACGAGTCGCGGTCCATCTTCACCCAAACAGAGATCAGCCACAGTGTACGTGGTGCCAACAAAATGCTGGCCAGCGAAACGTTTCCCACACATCACTTCAAGAATTCTATATATAAGCCGTACAATGGGGCCAGCAGTGCGCCGGATGTTGAGGATTTGGCAAGCATGGCCAAAACATTGACAACGACCACGTTGTCGTCGGGTGATGCAGCTGTGATCGATGTGGTCAAGACAACAGTTGAATACGGCAATCCAAACAAAATGTTGAACAGCTCTGTTAGCTCCTCCTCCGACTCTAACAACAACAACATTAAGAACACCAATGGCAACGTCAATGGACTGGCCAGCTTTGTGGCGAGTCATCCTGCGGCTGAATTTGAGGGATTCATTCGCGCCTGCGTGGATGAGATTATAAAGCTGGCCGTCTTTCAGGGCACCAATCGATCCTCCAAGGTGGTCGAGTGGCATGAGCCCGCCGAGCTGCGCAAGCTCTTCGACTTTGAGCTGCGCGAGAAGGGCGAGTCGCCGGAAAAGCTGCGCCAGCTGCTTCGTGAAACAATACGCTTCTCTGTGAAGACGGGTCATCCGTATTTCATCAATCAACTGTATTCGGGCGTGGATCCCTATGCGCTGGTGGGTCAATGGCTAACCGATGCACTTAATCCCAGTGTTTATACCTATGAGGTGGCGCCCGTTTTTACGCTCATGGAGGAACAGGTGCTCGCTGAGATGCGACGCATTGTCGGCTTTCCAAACAATGGCCACGGCGATGGCATCTTCTGTCCAGGCGGCTCGATAGCC